GCTGGGAGGAATCTGGCGGCGGCGGAGGGGGGGGGTCCGGCCGAGGCGCCCCTTGCACCGACCCCCGTGCCTTCAGACCTGACCTGGGTCCGGGACCTGTGCCCGTCCGATGCGCTGCGCGAGCCTGGCTCCTCGCGGGGCAGCCGAGCTTGGGTCGAGGGGCGTGGCCTACGCCTAAGCAGCTGGGGAGAATGGGCGGGGCGGCGGCGGGAGGGGGGGCTCCGGCCGAGGCGCCCCTTGCACCGACCCCCGTGCCTTCAGTTCTCACCTGGGTCCGGGACCTGTGCCCGTCCGATGCGCTGCGCGAGCCTGGCTCCTCGCGGGGCAGCCGAGCTTGGGTCGAGGGGCGTGGCCTACGCCTAAGCAGCTGGGGAGAGGGAGATGGGCGGGGCCTGCTGGGCAGCCTAACCCGCTAGTCGCCTGGCTGAGGCAAGGAGGCGGGGCCGAGCGGGGGACGCGCCTCTGTTGCCACGGAGACCGCGCGTCCCGCTCCGAAAGGGGTTGGTCGAAAACAAGGGAGAAGGGGCGGGGCGGGACTTCTCGCGATGACGTACGAAAGGGGCAGTCCAGGAGGGGGGCGCGACCTAAAGGGCCGCGAGTTCGAGTCCCGCCCGGAGTTTTGCCGCAGGCGGGACACCTGCGTGAGGAGGCCCAGGACGCGGCTTTTCGGGGGAGGGGCTGCCGGGCCTGAGGGGCGCCCGCGCGGAGTTTTTGAGGGAAAGGCAGTTCGAGGAGGGTCCCTCGGAAAGCCGGGCCGGCCGGCAGCGCCCGCGCCGATTCCGCCCAAGCGCTTCAAGGACCGCCGGCGGGTCTCTGGGCGTCTCCGAGCGGGTGCCAGGCGGCTCCTGGCCGAAGCCTATCAGGGGACCAAGGAGCCGAGGGCCGGCCCCGGGCCCTTCGGATGGGGAAGCCGGCTGACCGGAGCCGCCCGGCCCTTGTGGGGGGGGGGAGGGGGCTCCAAAATGTTCTTTCCAAGCGGAACGTTACAAATGTGATTAAAAACAAAAACGGCCACTTGTTTTGTCTTTTAAAAAACTTATTTATTTTGAAAATACATCGAACCATAGAGAATATATAGCTTTCTTCTGTCTTTCTGGCCCCACAGAAATAAGTTACAATGAATATTCATTAATAAAACCTCAAAGTAGCACGAAGTGGATACTATAATATACAAAAGTAACAGCGGAGGCTGTGCCACAGGCCGGTGTTTCGACTTCAGCAGCGCTTTTGCACAAACGGTAAAAAGCAGCACTAGTTGGTTCCAGAAAGGAAAATGGGGGGAAAGCAGGTAACCTCTGGTAGTATCCAGACACCACCGGCAGCCTTTCTCCGTTAAGGCAGCAGGACAGCACGCAGGCCATTCACGCCGCCCCTCTTTTATGTTTTGTGCAATTATGGCTCCAAAAAATACCCCAAGGCCCTCCTTAGGAGCCCGTGTTTCAGAGGGAGCCCCACCGATGTGGCCCCACGGGATGGGGGTCCACGGGGCATTTGGGAGCCCTTCAACCGTAACTTGAGACCTGAAAAGGAACAGGCAGCTTGGCTCTAGCCTTGGGGGGGGGGGGGAGCGGTGGGAAATGCAGCACGGAGGGAGGCTCCGTGGGAAGGGCTGTGCTTTGCAAAAAGGCACACGGCCGGCGGGCCCAGGTTTGGTGGGGATGAGGGGAACCCCACCCCATCCCACCCCCAACTCAAGCCCTGTGGGGCACACAGGATCCAGGCAGGCAGAAAAAGGGGGCGAGGGGAGGAGGCTGGGGAGACAGAAGAAGAAGAACAGGAATAAACAGCAAGAAAGATGGAGAAGGAAAGGCGAAATATTGTGGCATTTTAAAAGACCAACACATTTCTTTCAGTGCGAGCTTGAGTAGGTCAAAATAATTCTGCCTTACTCTCTCTTCTCCTTTCCTCTCTTTAATTCTGCCCACGTGCTGAGCTGGGCCAGCACCGTTACATCCTTTGAAACACCTTTGATAGCTCCATCCCTGATTGCCCTCTTCCTGCACACATGGGAAGATTACTGTACCGCCATTTGGACCTGGCACCCCCAAAAGCCAAAGGCACCCCCAGGTTTCACTCTGGAGGGCTGGAGGCGATCTGCCTTCTTTGGGCACTTAGGGCAGAAGATTCCACTGGGGGTGCAAAGGAGTTCAAACCCGAGAAAGGAGGAGCGGCTCCCCATGACAGCCAGAATCAGCCACCTGAGGTTGCTGCCTCACTTCCACCGCCGGGTGGGAGGGCATGGATCCCATGTATGCCTCCCTCTCCCTTCTAGGGGCAGCAACTTGGCACCTTGCTTAATTCATATCTCTATTTTCCCCTATACCATATATGTGCGTGTGTATGTGTGTACACACACACACACACAATATTTGAAATCTATATAATATATAACTATATAACTATGTGCAGAGCAATAATTTTCTGGTAAAATGTTTACAATACATGTTTGATGACACTGGCACATATAACTCAGTTTGCATAACAGTTCACACAGAGAGAAATTTCAGGACACATATGCACAGAACCCAGAAATACAAGTAAATAACATTTCCTTTGCATTGAAGAGGCTTCTCACATGCACACAGCACACACAGAGAAAACAGCACTGCTAACGAGTGGCTAAATGTGCTCTCTCACTGCAGAGAGGCTGCAAATTCTGGGCAGGGCCCTTCCTTGACCTTTCAGGAAACGAAAGAGGGCTTCCGGAAACACTCAAACTGCACTTGCTCACCTGGTGGCCTCCTAACGTGCTGGGAGGCGACACCCCCGAGCCCAGTGGTGGTGGTGGTGGTGGTGGAAGAGAACGCCACAGAGCTCTTTCCTGACCCTGTGGCCCAGGACGTTCTTTGGACACCAAGGCGCGCCACACGGGGGGAGGAAGCGCCCTGCACTGAAACCAGGCCAAGATCATGAGGTGCACCAACCACAGGTTCCACCTTTGTCCCACCCGTTCCTTGGCATTCTTCTAAGGCGCAGCAGGTGGGGTTTCAGCTTTCCATGCAGTGAAAGTTAGATGTGGCAGAGAAGGGAAGCGAGGTCAAGTGAGGAAAAGTGGAGGCCGAGCGACCCAGAAGGAATTCACACGGAGGATTCCTTCTCTCCACCTTCCTCCTGGCAGCTCTCCTGCTGCCTCCTACTCGCTCAGCTCCACGTGAGAGATGGATGCCCCAGGACGCCCCCTCCCTCCCTCCCTCCCTCCCTCCCTCGGTTTCCTGAAGAAAGTCCACTTCCCAACCTAAAAGGGCCTGCGGGCTGCTTTAGTGCTCTGGGTGCGAGAGATCCAGGAGCTGCAAGGTGTGCACTGGAGAAATGTGTTGCTAACAGGAACAAAGGCTTGTGCTTCGAAGACAGACAGACAGACAGACAGACTCGCATGCATCCTGAGAGGAAGCCCAACATGGATAAAATGCATGTGCATGGATCCATACACACACACACACACACAAACACACACACATGCTGCCCACAATCAACCCTCCTTTAAACTCTCCCTTCTATCTGGGTAGTCATCTCTTGAGAGGAAAGCAAAATAATATATATATACATTTTTTTTAAAAGGCAAACTGGCTTCAACAGAGGGAGCTGCCTTGGTTTCCAATCAAGGTGTCTTCAAGCCCCACCACCACCACCACAGGGTAAGGCTGACTTGTGCTTTTCTCCACTGGTGAAGCCCAGTTGTGCCTCGGAGCTGGGGGGGCCAGTTCCTCAAGCAAGAGTGACTGCCTGGGGGGGGGGAGTCTGGCCTAGAGGGAGCCTTGTGGAAGCCCACCACCTGGGCATGGGTCAGTGGAGGCCGGCCAGCCAGCCAGCCAGATGGACCCTGCTTTGGCCTGGGACAAGAGGGAATGCCTCCACCACCACCACCACCACCACCACTACCTGGCCCCACCTGGTCTCTGAGGGTGGTGGTCATGGGTTCTGCCCCTCTTCCCTGTAAACCTGGGGTACAGGGCTACTGCCAGCCTAATAGGAAACTCTGGCCAGTGGCAGGGGGTGGGGGAGACCCGGCCTAAGTCAGTCATTTCCTTCTCCAGCAAATATTTCCCAGGTAATCCAAAGCAGAGCTATGGCTGTTAAAAGAGACCAAAGGTTCTTCTGGAAAGGCATCTCTTCCTGCCCCCCCCCACCCCCTGGAAGAGAGGCAGCCAAGGAGCTTCTGCAAAGCCCTTCCCCAGCAGGGCAAAATAGGGTGGTGGGTCAGCAGGCAATGCCAGAGTGTTTCCCACCAGTACAAGCACATGGGGTGGTGGGTCAGCAGGCAATGCCAGAGTGTTCCCACCAGTACAAGCACCACATGGGGGGCCACACACACACGGACGGACACACACACACAGAAGCTACTTGGGGAGGGAGGCTCTTCAGAGTGACCCGCGTCCAGAGAGGTCCCCCTGCCCTCTCCACACGGCTGCTCCCTCCCTCAAGAAGGCGAGGAAGATTTCACTCGGAAGTGAGGAGCCCACCCATGGCCTCGGTGCAGCAGGGGGCCCGGCGTGGGACTGAGGAGGCCCATGCTTTGGGAGGGGAAAGATATGGCTGAGCATCCGCCACACACCCGGAAGCCACTGCCGTGGCGACAGGATTAGGCACCCGTTTAGCCAAGACCTTTGGGGGGAATTTTTTTTTTAAATCAAGCAAAAGAACTCCTTTAGGCTTCCCTTTCTTCAGGGTTTTAAAAACACCGGCATTTAAAACAACCCAAAGAATCCAGACATTTATCCTCAACAACATTGCCCACAGCTCCCAGTGCACCAGTGCTCCCAGTTGCACCACCCAGCGGATGGGCAGATCCCATGCCAGTCAGGGCAATGCAGCAGGAGGGCTCCAGACACGGCGGCCTTGCTCCACAGTCCACCTCCCAAACTGGCATGGCATTAGGAAGCTGGCGGGGGGGGGCTTTGAAAGGAACCAGGCCCCCTCCAGCCAGGGAAGGGCAGCGTGCTGCCACGGAGGTTGCTCGTGACACCCTTGGAGCAGGGAGGAGGGCTGCTCTCCCCAAGGGCGCGTGCGGGGCTTCCCTGCCTTTCTCACAGAGTCTCCCCCCAGGAATCTCTCTGAGAGGCAAGATCAGAATCAAAGAGGAGGGAAGGGCAAGGAAATATGCTGGTGGCTTAAAACGATATTCTCCCCGGGAGGAAGAGGAAAACAAGACCTGAAGGCCCCAGGGGTGCTTTTCAAAGCCTCCACTGCCTCCCAAAGTTCATAAAAGTGGACATTCATATAAACAGCCAGGCTGTGTCACTCCCTCCTCACCCCATCCTCCAGAGAAGACTTGTGGCCAGGGGACAGGCCCCCACCCCGAGAAAGCTGTGGCTCTTCTGAGTTCTTTGGTTAATCACCAAGACAGGGGCCGAGGTCAGGAAGGGGCCTCGGTCTGTCCCACCCGGCCAGCGCAATGACATGGTTGGGGGGGGGACGGGACGGGACACACCCACACCCACACACACCCTTCAAGAGTTCACTTGAGATCGCTCAGAGTGCCAGGCTCTCTTTCCGAGTGCCACCCTCAGCCGTAAAAGCTTTGTCAAGGACGGTGCCGCTTCCTCCAAGGGGTGGGGGTGGGGGTCAGGCCATTTCCTGAATCACTTGTTCTCAATCAGAGTCTGGACTCTGTACACAAGGTCTCGAGCCAGCTTCAGGATCTCTTTGGTGTTGTGGCGCTCAGCCATTTCTGGAAGAAGAGGGAAAGGGTTGAGCAGAGGCCACCAGGAAGAAGGCAAAGTGGCGAAGGAATCCCAGTGGGATCCCTGCCCCCAACCCCAGTCCTGGCACCATTGCAGAAAGAGACCAAGCTGTTCCTCCCTCCCCTCCCCCCCCAAAAAAATGATGGCTTTGTCACAGAGGCCTGTCTGGATCACGGATCGGGAGCACCAATGGATTTCCTGCCCCCTGACCAGAGACTCTCCGATCTGTGACCCCTCCTCTGCCCCTGAGGCACAAAACTGGCGCTTGCCTCTTCAGGAAGCCAAGGGACCACCTTTCTTCAGCGCCACAAGAGCAGCAGCAGCAGCAGCAGCAGAAACCACGCCAGGCAGGGTTTGCTCCGTGGCACGCCACACAAAGCACCCCCAAAGTCCTGGTTTCAAGACTCCCCGAGGGAGAGCCCAGAAAACTCAATTGTTTGGATGGCAAGTCCTCAGTTCCGACAGCCTCCCTGGCCACTAGTTTGGGGACTCTGGGGTCTGTAGTCAAAAAACTCCATTTCCCAAACTCCAGCCCTCAGCTCAGCTGGAGGTGACAGCTGGTACCTCTCAGATTCGGTCCCATGGCCCCGGGGGGGGGGGTCAGTGTTCAGCCCCACTCCGAGATGGGGCTGTCAGACTCCAAACCTTACCGTTAAAGAACTTGATGATATCTGTGAAGTCCATGTTGTTCTCTAGGATGATGTCTCGATAGACCTCCACCAGGGCCAGAGCAATGAAGAGGACGTAATGGGCAGAGGAGATCCGAGTGGCTGCCCAGATGGTCTCCCAGACAGAAAAGACGTCATTGTAAACGAGTTCTACAAGGAAGGAGCACCAATGAGGAAGAGCCCACAGAGGAGCAGCTCGGATCCCCCCCAACCCCACCCCGAGGCCTTTCCCCTTCCTGCCTGCCCCCCGCAATTCAGCCCAAATGACTCCCTAGCAGATAGACCCTCCTACCCCTCTCCCGCAAAGAGCTACTAGCCAAAAGGGAGGAGGAGGAGGACGACGACGAGGAGGAGGAGGCATGCGCTTCAGGCCACCCTCTCTGCTCCCGCTGAGCATCCAGGTACACCTTGTTCAGTGACCGTGATCCCAGCACTCTCGTACGTACAACTCTTGCGCCCTCTCCCAAACCCCCACTTCTCAGGAACCTTCGAGGGCAAATGTATCTGTTCTCTGGGTCTGGAATCCACCCCAGCTCTCCACACACCTCGCTTAAAATCCAGGAGGAACCAGCGATAGCAGAAGTAGAAATGTGTGTAATCGCCGTTCTGGTGCATCAGCTCAAAGAGTTCCGAGTCCAAAATCTGCCAGGAAGGAAAAGGAAAAAAAAGGCTCTACAGACCTTTATTTGCCCACATCTGTACGATGCAATCTGCACAAAGGGTGTGTGTGTGTGTGTGTCTGTGTCTGTTTATATGCTGGTACCCCATGTGCTGGAGACACCCCTACCCCTGGTACAACCTCTTCCCGACAATGGGAGAGGAATGGCTTGGGCTTTGGAGCATGGAGAAGGAAGGCCCCCTGTGGAGGCACAGGCGGGCATCTCCATGGCTAACACAGAACACACTGCCAGGAGGACACGGGGCACAAGCCAACCTCGCCGCCTGTCTGGTCCCACCCGTCCCCTGCCCTGCCCTGCCCTGCCCGGTTTCAGGTTACTTGTCGTCCACCTTGGCCAGCTGTGGTGCCAGTCGGGCAGCCTGTCTCCTTTCTCCTTCCTCTGGCAGGCCTGGCGCCTTTGGGCAATGAGGAGACCAGCCTCTGACGCGTCTCCTCGCTCAAGGCACAGTGGCCCTCCCAGGAAAAATGAGAGGCCTCCCTCGCCATGCCTCCCACGGGGGCTCTTGCACGCCAAGCACTGATCTAGGCGGGTACCTGGATGAGGGAGCGCATGTTGGCAAAGTGGGTGTCCATCGCTCCTCCGTGGGGAAAGTTTTGGTTCATCCTCTTCATGAGCTCCGTGAAACAGCTGAAAGCGAGGGCTTCTGGGCAGGGAGAAGGTGGGGGGGGAAGCGCGTGAGAGAAAGCGAGGGACTGCAGCCTGGCCCAGAGCAGCCCTCCTCCCATTCTGGTCCTTTCCAGAAACTGCTGGGCTCCAACTCCCTGAGAAGCCGACAGCCCAAGACGCCGAGTGCGAAGTCCGCAGCCGCTGGAAGGCCCTCAAGGAGCCCCAGCCCCCAACCCCCCCCCACCTGGGCTCCATTCAACGCCCCTCCTGCAGACACGAAGGGGCTTCAGTGCCCTTCCCTCTCATTTAAGAAAAAGCGGTTTTACTAAAACAATGGGAAGGAAGCCCCCCCCCCGCTTTCAAAATGTCCTCCCTCCCGCAGACTTGGAGGGGCAGGATTCTCGGGGGGGGGGGAAGGCTGGGAGGGGCTTGAGGGTTGCAAAAGAAGGGCCTATGTGGGCCTTGAACAGGAGGGTTAAAAGCAGATCCACCAAAGGGATCCCCATGTTTGGGGCACAAGGTTTCTGAAGGGCACCATGTCGGCACCCTCAGGAGCGGGAGAGAGCAGCGGGAGGGGCAGGGGCTGCATCCAGAGGGAGGCCCCAAGTCTCCGTCCAGCCTTCCGGCCGCCCTTCGGGCACTCACCGTCGTCCAGAATGACGAGCAAAGGGGCCAGCAGATCACACATCCCCTGCACGTAGCCGACGTCAAGGTGGTGCCAAACGTAGCTGGTGGGACAGGAAAGGGTGAAGAAGGACCCCTTGGGGACCAGAACTGCCCGGAGTCTTCCTCCTGGACACGTTTGCCTGCCCCCCCTCCCCCCACCCTCCCAAAAAAGAGAGATGAGAGAGGGGGAGGGGAAAGGGGCCGAAGCTTGCCGCTGCCTCCTCCTCCTGCTGGGTCTTTCATGGCCAGGGTGCAGACGATGGGGCACTCAGGTGTGGACGGCTCATTGGGTTTTGCTCTCAAACAAGAGTGCTGTGGGACGGCCACCGTTTGTTTACTGAATTTAAGGAACGTTACCAGCCACCTTCTTGAAATCAAAACCAGAAGCAAATTCTAAGCAACTTTCAAAGGAGAAATCCAAACAAAATGTTAACGTATCAATGTGTTACATCTTTGCAAAATGTAAATGTATTTGCTTATGATAGAATGTATCATTAGGACCAATTCGTAAAACAGGAGCTGCAGGAGAACCGCCTTTCTGTTGCAAGGCATGTAAAAAATTATGAAGTGGGTGAAAGAAAGCGTTCCTGAAGAGGAGTCACAGTTGAAATCAGCCATTCTCAGGAAAACCAAGAGCAAAGTCTGCCAGCCCAGCCCTCCGGGTGGTGTGAGGGCAGGCATTGTGGAAACGGAACGCCGCCCCCCCCCCCACCGGCCGGCCCCGGGCGGGCAGTTACCTGCACATGACGTTGCGAAGTTTCTCTAGGTTGGCAGGCGTGAAGTACCAGTAGTTCCGGTCACACCTCTGGACGTCCTTCTCGATGCGGTGCAGGTTAATGGTGTACAGGTCCAGAAGCTCTGGCTGCAAGAAGCAACGGCGGTGTGTGTGTGTGTGTGTGAGAGTGAGAGAGAGAGAGAGAGAGAGAGAGAGAGAGAGAGAGAGAGAGAGAGAGAGAGAGAGAGAGAGAGAGAGAGAGAGAGAGAGAGAGAGAGAGAGAGAGAGAGAGAGAGAGAGAGAGAGAGAGAGAGAGAGAGAGAGAGAGAGAGAGAGGCCAATTATGGAGGCTCCCCTGCACCTGTGAGTCTCTGTAAGGGGTTGTGCTAGGACACACCCAGGGCAGGGCTGCGCTCCAGTGGGTAAAGCTCGGCCTTCGCTAGAACTCTTTCCTCTTGGCAGTGTTTCAAAAATAATTCGTGGCCCTTCCTTGTCAGGAGGTTAGAAGGAGGACTCACCAGGTTACTCTCCATTTGTTATGACTGTTCTTAGCGTTGGGAACACCAGGGCATATTCTGCAGGAAATTACTGAGCCACTCCGAATAACTTAACACTTTGGGTAGCTACGTGACTTATAAGGAGTTACTTCCAAACTCCGATCGAGACTCTAGATTCCTCTTAATTCTCCACCTCTAAATGGTTCTGCTCATCCTGGGAAGGAGGACAGCTCCCGACAGCTGCTGGAGATCCTCTCCAAGCAACCTCCTGGCATCCACATCCCAGCTGGCGCGGCCTACACACCTTCTAGCTGGTTAAAGGATAAATCGAGAACGCTGCCTTCGGTACTGAATACACACTAATCTGGTGCCACTTTTGCTCTTTCCTTTGCGGTCCCCGTTCCCATGTATGGTTTTTCTCTTAAGCTGCACCTTTCCCTACAAAATAGTAAGTGGTAGGTGGCACTAAACCAACACCACTAGTAAATAAGTAAGCAAATAGATAAGTCACCTCAAAGGCAACACAACTCCAGGGGTGTGGTTTCAAAGAGCTGCTTTTCAAAATCAGAATGCGCAGGAGGCCACCATCCCCGTCCAGCCCTGTCAGGGTTTGAGGTGCTGGAAGGAAC